CACTAAATGCTCTTAAATCTTTCATTAGTTAGACCACGTATGTTAAGTAAGACGAGGCTTTACATGGACTTGATGTTGTGCCACATAGTGAGGGCCATCATATTGGTGTGCACGGGTCACATCTAGGTCAGGTAGAGGTGTTATGGGGTGGAGGCGTGCACGAGGCAATCAATGGACAATATAATGCATGCATATTTTTTTTTGAGAGGTTGATCACCATATATATTGATAAAAAAATACCCCAATCCACATTTACTTTCACTTGAAAATGTGTTAAATCAAAGAACACATTGTTGTTGTAACATTGAAAAAAGTTTTTAAAACTACAAAACACTCTGATCTTCACGTAATGAATTGAACATTTTAGGAATTTAGTCATAATTTTATGTATCCCAACTCATGAATAGGTAAAGGAATCCTTTTATTAGGTCACGTTATTCCACTTGCGGAGTATTTCACTTTCACATGCGTAATAGGAAGGCCGGGTTTAATTTGGATGTGCATGTCAAACATGTATGTACAAGTTTCATGTGCCACCCACCTCTACAGAAAACTAAATTCACATATTTACTGTGTTAATCAATTGTTACCATCTATCCAACACAGCTTTTCCATGTGTTTCACACCCATTCTCATTCACTTTTTGCATGCCCTCACTGTTTTTTATTCTGTACGGATTTGCCCTTTTTTTCATCTCATCACACATGCGCCATATATATTGATTCTCGTTTTTTCACGGGATCCCTATTTTTTCAAGAGTACTATTTAATTGAATATTCCCTATCTCAAAATCAAATCAAGGATGAAATATTAGATAGTCTCCACTAATTCACTCTCATCTTCATAAATAATTTTTACAAAAAACTAGTAATTTTATTTTTTTCTCAAAACTCTATGAGCATAAGTTAATGAGAAATTGAATTCATGATGTATAGAGTAATATAGACTTTGATGTACGAAGTTTATATACTCTATCTGTGTTGATGTATTGTTTTAAGAGTTTGTTTGGAAGACAGGAAAATGACTTGATGAAGTCATTTTCTTTCCTCTCTGGTGTTTGGCATGGTAACAGAGTGGGGAGTCAATGGAAAATACGCTCTTATTAGCAAAAAATGACTTTCCCTTTTGAAATCCAGAAGTCGTTTTTTGCTTTGTACCGTGTTCTTCTTCTACAATTTAATCATTTCTTATTTTAACAAATGATTGATAAAATACATAAATAAAAAATATTTTGATTTTAGAATAGCACTTTAAAACCTTATTTGAGGAAATAAGGAATACATATAAATAAATAAGTCGTATCATATTGCAAAACATAATATATCATTTAATTATATGTGTGATTTTTTAAAAATATAATTTAATTTGTAAAAGTTGTATAGAAGAAGTTGAGTTTGCGAAATACTTTTTAGTTAAAAGCTACTCCCTCCGTTCCCTAAAAGAGTTCTTGTTTTGACTTTTAGCCAAAATAAGGAATCTATATTTTGGCAAGGACCTTTCCAATTTGCCCTCAATCTCACGTGGGATACATAGCAAAGGAGGAAATAAAATATTAAGCATAATAATGAGTAAGTTGTCATGAATAGTGGATGCATTAAATGACTCACCAAAATTTTTACATTTCACGCAACATACATAATAAAAGAGGGAAAGTTTACATCATTATTTTTTGTTCGCATCATTAGTTTGCCCAAATACCACACATAAAAACATAATGCAACACATATGCGCAAGGTGTAAAGGAGAAAGGATTGAAGGACATTACTCGGTTTATATCTTTCAATTTTGGATGGACTTCCTACTGGCTCGGACAACAACATCTCTGTTTCCGAGGTCATTTCTCGAATCTCATCAGTGTTGAATGAAGACTCAAGATCTGATGAACCTTCTTCCAAATCTGATCCCCGCTCAAGTCCATCTGGCAGATGCTCACCCCCTAGGTATTTTTTCCGGAAATTCCACGAAGGATCAATGTGAGATAAACTTGATGGAAGCGGATCAACATCACCTTTCAAGGCAGCTATAGATCGTTTGCGCTATCTCAAAGATTTCTAAGTACGATGAGGGTTAGGTTGGTCCTCATCGCTATCAGAGAGCAAGCGAAATGAGGCATGCTCGGATCTGGAGAAGAGGAGGCAGCCATGAAGTTGATCTGATTCTGAAAAGATAAAAGTGAGGAGAGGAGAAGAATCACTAGGGAATCAAGGGCGGATCTTTCAAGATGAGGGGTGGGGTTGTCACGATGGGATGGATAAGGTGGGAGAGGTGATTGGGTAAAATTAGGTTTAGGGGTAGTTTAGGAAAAGAAGTGAAAAAGAAAGTGCTTTAAGGAAAACAAAAAAAAATGAAGAGAAAGGGTTTTAAGGAACGGAGGAAGTAATATAATCGACCGTACCGATCAAAGTAGGCAACTCAATCAACCGTTCAAATCACACAAACCAAACAGCTAAAAGTTAACAGTCATATTCCAAAGAAGGCCATTATCCGGGTCGGGTCGGGTAAAATTATAAATCCACACCCAACCCGACCCGATGTCGGGTTCGGGTAAAAAATTTCGGGTCGGGTTCAGATTATTTTATTCTCGGTTCGGGTTCGGATATTTTAGTGGTCGGTCGGGTCGGTTAAGCTCGGGTTCGGGTTGAATTGTCATCCCTATATTGAAGCAAATTAGCAGTAGGCCAAAATGATAAGGCAAATCTTGTTGCTTGTACGCATGTTTGTGTGTACCATTTTGCTCACATTTGACCGAACAAAAAAAAGGAAATTTGGTACAAGATGGAAAGAGGGGTAACCTCTATGCCACCCTTACCAAGTTTATTAACATACCACATACCTACAAGGTGAGAGAGGGCCAAACGAAACCGAAAATCCAACCGCTCCTGGGGAAGACAAACTGACCAAGGAGTACAAAAAAAACAAAGGGACAATGGGATCCTATCATACGGCTTGACCAAAGCCACAAACAGGTCCTAACTACAAACACATATAAACTAAGCTACGGCATGACCAATGCCACATAAGATCAAACAAATAAGAAAATACCAGTCTAGGGGCATGACAAAATGCCACAAACAGGTCAAAAAGGCCAAATGTCATGGGCTAAAAGAAGCAACAGTCGAAACACCCTCAAATACACCATACGGGTAGGACGAAACTCACAATGCACCTAATAAGCTAGGCCACCAGTACTTGACTACTCAAAATTACACCCACCAAGGTTGGGAAAATATATTATGAAGCAAAACCTGGATGGGACTTGGAATCAAATATGCTAAGCTTCTAGTTAGAGGCATGCCTAACTTTCTACCACAGCAACCTGGATGGGACACGTAATTAGATATGTCCAATACTGGCAGTAGTTAGAGGCAGGGCTAACTTACTACCAGCATTACAGAGCAGAACCATGTCTAGTACTGGCACTAATGAAGAAAAACCTTGATATTCTCTAAGCTTATACTGATGTAAAGTTTGTGGTTCATGGCACATATAAAAAACATACAAGAATTGGGAAGAATGCACCCATAATACCCTAACTTCTCCATAACCCTAGCTGAGTAATGGGCCAAATGGCTTTTGTTCTTCAAAAGACTTCCAAGAATAAGCAACCATACAAAGTATCCAAATAAGACCACACACATAGCCATAATGAACAAGGAAATACCACCAGTGCAACTAATCAATCCCATACTAAGGAGAGGGTAAGAATAAACAAAGAAATCAATAACTCTTATGGATTGACTGTTCTTTTTCTTTTTGGAATATTCTCTTCTGCTGCAAAGCAATAATTAAGGTCCTAAGCTGAATAAAGGTTTATTTTTTCATGAAGCAGTTCTCTTTAGGCACTGGAAAACCTGCAGATTTGAGATTTGGTCTCCTTTAATCTAAAAATTGCCTTCCACACAAAGTAATGCTAAACTACATTCAAGATCACGAAGAGATTAACACAAAAAGCAAATTGATTTCAGTAGCATACTCTATTAATTAATTCCTTGAAAAGATTTGATAAGTCGTGTTTGGGTTAGTACTTTTTATTTAATTTTAGGCATTTTTAATATTTTTAGTGTTTAATTTTTAGTTGTTTAGCTTAGTTTTATTTTAATTTCTATTTTTACAATCTTTTATTTTTCTTTCATAAATAGTACAGTAGTTTTTTAATCACTTTTTACATTCTATTATTTTTATTTTATTTTTCCTAACCCAAGTTATGAGATATCTTATTTTTGGAGAAAAGTATAGCAAAAAGGCCAAAGTGCAGTTCAAGTTTGAAAAGAATAGATTGATTTTGGGCCGGAGCCCAAACCCAACTTTAATGAAATTAGCCCAACCACTCCATACCAATCCAAAGGAGTCTACGACTCTTTCGTCGTCGTCAACGGAACTAGCATAAACCGGCGAAGCATTCAACACTCCAACGTTAGGCTCCATCAATTTCGTCACAATCAATTGCCAACGGGAAGAAAAGCTTTGCCTATAAATTGAGCACAGAATCATCAGATTGAGGGGGGAAAACACGGGGAACATCGACGATTGAGAGCCGCGGCTTAGGCCGCGGCGGTGGGCGGTGGAGGAGGCGACACCCAGCGTGGCGACGGTAGCGGCTGCAGCTCCGGCCGGATATGGGCGGCGATCTCCAACTCCGTTCAAGCTCCAATTTCTTCAATTAATTCATCTTCTTCAACAATTGGTAACCCTTATTTGTCAATTTCTTTTTCTTCTCCATTTCATTGTAAAAATGTTGTTTCAATTGAAGTTTACATTTTTTTGCTAGTTGTGTTAATTTCGAAAATTCCAAAATGGTTGGTGTTTCTTTACGGGGTTTTTTATGTTATATTAAATCCCTTATGAATGAAAATTGATTCTTACTAGTTTCTTCAATTTTTGCGCAAATTGATGTTAAATCGGTTGAATTATAAATTTGATTTCATAAGTAGGTTGGTATGTCGAATTCGGTTATCATTGAAGCTAATTTAGCTACATATCTTAGTTAAGTGATTTTCGAATTCATACGTGAATCTTTTTTGTGACTTGTGTTTTGTAAAATTTTAAGGTAAATGATCTTCTTAGCCACATAAGTCGACCGTTTTCCTTAAGATTCGTTATAGAGTGATTGTTTATGTCTTGGTGTTTTTGTTTGTTATTTTCATAAAAATTGGGATTGTTTAAGCGCAATAAACAACTCTTGATTTAATGAAAATATGTAATGTTCTTTTATGTGAATAGATTACAATTCTTATGCTTGAGTAGTTCAAGGAGACCTGCAAAATATTTTCATCATTAGACGTTAAAGTTTATTAAAGTGTATCAAATGTTCTTCATGAATACTTTGTGCATGGGAGTTAGAATGAAAGAAAGATTCGCTCTTTTATAAACTTTTTCATCTTTTGGAATCATTGTTTGAGCGCTTGAGGTGAGTGGGGGTTCAAAGTAACCAAAAGGCCTTTGAATNGAATTATTTTCTATTCTTAAGTGCGTAAGTTACGTAATATATTGTCTACGTGCCTATTATACGTGTAATGTTCTATTTGTGTCCGTTCTCTTTTTAATTTTGTTTCGGGTTCTTGGCGGTGTTTCTTGGGTTACCTTTGTTGGAGAAGTTGATTATCTTTTGAGATTGTTTCCCCCATTTTATCAAAAAAAAAATCCAAAAAAAAATAAGATAATTTAAAAAACCAAAAAATATTTACTCTTTATTCAACCCCCCCTTTGTGTTTTAAGTTATAAGTTATAAATATAAGTTTTTATATATTTTTTAGTATATCTTAAGTATATGTTTTATGTTTATAAGTTATATTATAAGTTCTTTGTTTATATAAGTTATATTTATATGTTTTTAGTTATAAGTTTTATTATAAGTTTTATAAGTTCTTATCATATGTGTAGTTTTTTTTATTTTATTTCGTGACAATGTGTGTGCATGCTTAAATGATTTCAAAAGTACAAACTTTCTCCGTGGGATCGACCCTTACTTGCCCTAGCTATAGTCTTTATTTGATTATATATCGGGGGTTAGCTAAGGATATTTTATAAATTTTTAATTTGTTTTGGACCGCACGACAAGTCCCCAACAAGATTCCATAATAAACCGCCATAAACCCTAACTCAGGCCACTATATTACAATAAAAAAGCATTTATATAAACGAATATAGACCTCCAACTCCTGAAGCAAGTTGGGAAATCTCCTTACTCATAGGCAATTTTCGACCAGTTAGCGAGGAAATCAGGCCCCCCTCTTCGAGATGAATCTCGCGCATGGTGTACCTTCTGGAGAAACTCCTCCGATTCAAGCATTGAAGCAGCGGCGACTGAATTTTCCAGCAGCTCCGGATAGCCCAATGTTCTCCAAGCTTCGATGACCGACGCCCAATAAGACTTCGAATTTTGGAGATTTTATGGTGCGATGAACTAGAGACTAACGGACGTGATTATGCAGAAACGGTAGACTAGTTAGTGATTTGGGATGTTGTAAAGGAAGCAAAAATATGGGGCCATTTGTAATTTCAGAAAGTTAGAATGATGTGGAAATTTTTATTATGACTCATGTTTATTGTCTACATGACATACTTTGAGTGGAGGGGCATGAGCGCCCTCTTAATTTTGTGGGCACCGAAGAAATCCCCTTCTAAGAATTTGTTATACACTTTACGTAAAATGTAGTGAAATTTTAAATTTTAAAATTCATTATATATAGAGATTGGCATAAAAATTGAAAATAAAATTTATATATTTAAAAACAAAACCAAAGTTCAACCAAACAAAAAATGACAAGAATAATTTTTTTAATATAAAATACTCCGTAGTCAACCAAAAGGTACAAATAAATAAAGGTTTCAACTACTTTTGAATATTGAACACTGTAATGCTTGCTTCTTTGGATGGGGGAATATTACACAGTACTACGTAATTATTTACAAAAGATAATAATAATAATAATAATAATAATAATAATAATAATAATAATAATAATAGGGAGCAATAGATAAGAATCTGGCCCATCAACCCAAAACAATAAGTTAGTTAGGCCAGGCCCAAATAATATTGAGGTAGAAATGAAGAACATACTCGACCCAAAAAAGTACGGAGTAATATGAAATGAGCCGGACTCTATAAAAGTTAGTAGTCCAAGAGAGAAGAAACTGGGTTATGGGCGAGTCTAACGCAGCTCGATCAAGGTCAATCCAATTAAATGGCCGAGTGAGGTCAGGCTCTGTTTTCCTTCTCAAATACAAACATGAAGTATATATTTTAATCCCTTGAAAGTTTACAAATTTTTCTTCTAGTCCCTTTAAAATTCATTTGGTTTACTAATTCCAATTTTAAATTATTAAATACTCCATGCAAGATTAATTTATTCTCTATATACAAACTAATTTTTTAAATTACAAGGTCAAAGTAAAAGAATTTTTTTAAGAGAGACTAAAACATAATGACTTTTCTAATATAGGACCATATTTTTTTATTTCTCAATGTAGGATCTTTGGTCATTATCAGGTAGTCATTATTCAACTAAATGTTCATCATTACTGGACATTATTTCTTCCACATGGTCATTATTAAATCTTATTTAGGGAATAAAAATGTTTAAGTCCTATATTAGGAAAGTCATTATGTTTAGTCCTATTTAGTTCAAATTTAACTTTTTTTAAAACACAAATCTAAGACTCACTTTAATTAATTATTTTTTCGATTGAATCAATAATTCATACATATTCATACACGTACTGTGTGAATTAATAGAAGTATTGATACTTGACACTTGTAAATCGAAAATACAATGTACACGTATTTTTCACTGTGCATATAGTTCAGTTCAATCGAAAAATAATTCATAGAGTGTCAATTATTTAATTAATACATGACATTATACATTTTGTAAAATATGGCAGATATATTACTCTTAGTATTTAGAATATTCGGTTACCTTGTTTACCTAGACTTTACCTCCTCCCCGTGTATGTATAAATACCCCGATATGGGATCAACAACCACTTCATCACCCCCCAGCCGCTCGCGTCCCCGATCCTGTCCATGTGATCCCCTCTGCACGATCCCGTCCCCAGCGACAGGATCATGAAGCTCTCCGGCTTCAGGGGCACTTTATATGCCCTCGCCGCTTCCCGTATCGCCAGCAACACCTATACCATCATGCATGCATGTTTCAAGAAAACTGATCATAATAATTATTAATTCAAAACAAAAGTTCAAGCTTGTATGTATGGGATTGTTGGCTGCAACGCCTCCGTCAACGAGGTTGAACTCTTCAATCCCTTCGGAGGACTGCAGCTCGAAGCTGTGGGGAGGGAAGTAAACCGGCGCCGCAGATGAGGAGATGCACACATCTGAGAGCTTGGGGTTCTTCGACGCGTCCCTTCTGGCCTGGAGGGAGGAGAAGACGACGGTTTTCAAACGGCGGACGTCGTAGGCGGGGATGACGACGTTGGCAAGGGTCTGGCTGAGCTTGGTGTCTTTCACCATGCTCCTGATCTTCTGGTGCAGGTATGCCCCGTCGTACATGGGGCGGAACCCCATCTTCACCACGAAATCAATCACCCACTTCGCCGCAGAACCCAGCCTCTTGAACCAACTCCACATATCCGACACACTTAACCTGTCAACATACATATACATATAGTTAAGTTTTAGTGCTAACAAACTTTTCTTTTATTTAATTATACACTCCGTATATACTTACAGTTGCACTTGATCAGGCATTCCTGGAACTAGTGCGGGAGGGTTAGGCTGTTGCTTGTAAAATGGAGGGACGTCTGCTTCGGAGAACTCGGGCAGCTGCACAAGGCCGGCGCCGCCGGTGCTGTCCCCGGCATCCGGAGAATTTGTGGCTAGACCGGGGAATGGGGGCATGCCTGATTTCTTGAAGATACGGGGAGACTCCTCCTTGTAGAAGGGAGGTATCTCCGCGGCGGAGAAGCAGGGGCGGCCGTCGTCGCCCGGGGCCGTGAGCATGGCGACGACGAGGCCGCCGGTGCTCGTCCCGGCCACGATGTCGAAGTAGTCCGCGATCCTGGCGTTGGGTCCCTCGAGTGTTTTGTAGTTTTTGAAACTACAAAACACTCTTCACGTAATGAACATTTTAGGAATTTAGTCATAATTTTATGTATCACAACTCATGAATAGGTAAAGGATTCCTTTTAGGTCACGTTATTATTCCACTTGCGGAGTATTTCACATGCGTAATAGGAAGGGTTTAATTTGGATGTGCATGTCACATGTACAAGTTTCATGTGCCACCCACTTCTACAAAAAAATATATTCACATCTTTACTGTGCTAATAAATTGTTACCGAGCAATGTTATGGTGTACCCCATTTTTCTCAAAATCAAATCAACAATGTAATAGATAGTCTCCACTAATTCACTCTCATCTGCATAAATAAATTTAACAAAGTACCAATAATTTTATTTTGAGTAATTTAACTAAGTAGGACTAAAACATAATGACTTTCCCAATATAGGACCATATGTTTTTATTTCTCAATATAGGACTTTCGGTCATTATCAAGTAGTCATTATTCAAGTAAATGTCCATCATTACTGGACATTAATCCTCCCACGAGGTCATTATTAAGTCCTATTTAGGGAATAAAAAAGTTTAAATCCTACATTAGGAAAGTCATTATGTTTTAGTCCTATTTAGTGCAAATATCACTTTTATTTTCTCAAAACTCTATGCAAATAAGTTAATGAGAAATTTAATTTAGAATGTATAGAGTAATATAGACTTTGATGTACGAAGTTTATATAATCTATCTGTGTTGAATGTATTGTTTTAAGAGTTTGTTTGAAAGGCAGAAAAATGACTGGATGAAGTCATTTTCTTTCCTCTCTGGTGTTTGGCACCGTAAGGGAGGGAGTGGGAGTCAATGGAAAATGCTACTTTAGTCTATGGAAAATACGCCCTTATTAGCAAAAAACCCCTTTTGAAATCCAGAAGTCATATTAAATGGGCCGGACTATAATAGCAATAATATTTGAGGGAGACAAAAACATATGAACTACTTTAGTCTATGGAAAATACGCCCTTATTATCAATAATATTGAGGTAGAAATGTAGAATATTCTTGACCCAAAAAGTAATATTAAATGGGCCGGACTATAATAGTAGTCCAAGAAAGAAAAAATTGGGTCAAAGGCGACTCTAACCCAACTCAAGGTAGTAACTCAATCCAATTAAATGACCGAGTGAGGTCACACTTAGGACGTGTATTCAATTGAAATTATATTGGATTTTTTTAGATATAAAAAATTTGTGGATTTAAAAAATCAATAGAGATTTTGTCCAGTATTCTATTGATTTACATGGACTTCATAGATTTCATGGATTTGTGTTGGGCCTTGGCAGGGCCGGGTTCTCCGTAGACTTGAGGTTGAGGGTTGCACGCCAACACATCATCTTCCACAGCGCACACTTCCGCTTGGGAAGTGGAAAGACGTTTTTTTTTGGATTGGATTTGCAGATTTAGAATGAAATTGTAAGTTGTATCAATTGAGGAGCACAAATAAAACTTCCTGGTGGCCAGCTTCCATAGTGTAGTTTTCTTGAGCTTGTAAAACTAACGAGTTTTATTTTTGGTTTTTCAGAAATTTTTAAATCAAATCATCTTTGTAAAACAATTTTTTTGTTGGTTTGACATTACACTTTCTGCATATATATATATATATATATATATATATATATATATATATATATATATATATATATATATATATATATATATATATATATATGCAGAAAGTGTAATGTCAAACCAACAAAAAAATTGTTTTACAAAGATGATTTGATTTAAAAATTTCTGAAAAACCAAAAATANAGGTGAAGAAGTGTGACTTATTTTAGGGGTACGTAGTTTAGGTGTTATTTTTAAAAGTTTACGAAAACAAGTAACATGCAGCTTATATATATATATATATATATATATATATATATATATATATATATATATATATATATATATATATATATATATATATATATAAGCTGCATGTTACTTGTTTTCGTAAACTTTTAAAAATAACACCTAAACTACGTACCCCTAAAATAAGTCACACTTCTTCACCTTTTCTTCTCATTCATCATCACCCCTTCTAAAAAGTACTGTCAATTTCGAAAAATCAACTCTATTTTATATTTTCCTTAAATATGCCAAAAAGTCAAAACAGGCGATTTAAATTAGGACGGAGGGAGTAACTTATTTATTTTTTAAAAGTAAAATAATTTTTTAAGGACTTTAAAAAATGAAGAACAGAAAGATGAAATAAAATGTGGAGTTAAAGAAAAGACTATTTTTTATATTTTTATTTCTTTTCATTACCTTTTTTAACTATTATTTTTACTCTGTACACAATATTTTTTTTCTTTTTCTTTTGTAAAATTATCCAAAAAAATCTTTTGTTTTCAGAAGTACATCATGAAAAATTCTAATTTGATATGGGAAGTGTATATTTTATTTTATATATTTTTATAATAAAGGAAATTGAAATTGGAAAAATTCAAGATCGGGGAAAACAAAGGGCATAAGTGTCATTTTTACTTTAAAAATAGGTAAAGGGGGCATGTGTGCTCTATTTAGAAACCATAAAGACTTTACAAATAATTTTTGAAAACAGAGAGGATTTTGACGCCCTTTTTGTAAACCACGGGGCACACATGCTATTAACCCCAATTTACATTTTTGTTCTTATTTTGGAAGTTAATAATGACTTGAAAGTGCTCAAAAAAAAAAGAAATCAAAAAGTTATTAAGTCAAGAACATGTACACACACAGGAAGAAACACATTAAGACAAGATGCCTGCCGACTTTGATTTATTTCGAGCTAGACAGCTAGTACACAAATTAAAGATCACCAACAACCCAGTACATAACATTATTCATTGACTACTACCACAGTACCACGTACACAATAATAACGTGGTTGCCATGTGCATGCATGCAAAGTCCATGGCCTCACGAAAAGTCAATTATTTGAAAACACTCCCAAATACTCTCTCCGTCCCATGAAATATGTGATGTTTTGATTTTTGAAGAGATTTAAGAGAATGTATTTTGGTATTGAATTTCCAAAAATGTCTTGTGATGTGATGAGTAAAAGTAAGATTTGATGGGTAGATTATTAGTAAAAGGTATGATGTGATAAGTAGGGTATGAAAAAGTAAGGGTAAAAGTGACTTTTTAATAAAAATGAGAAGTGTTTTATGGGACAGATGAAAAAAGAAAAGAAAAAGGTTTTATGGGACGGAGGGAGTAGTGTCTAATGTCATTTTATGACATAGCCTCGATTGAATCACCCAGGTTATTCTGTTCGAAAATCTGATGGTTTCTACTCTCATATAAACTTCCAACCCGGTCCGACTCAAGCTGACCACCCCACCCCTCCAATTGCACCCCAAAATCAACTACATTTTGTGGGGTACAATTTGAGTGGGTGGAGTGGTCGGTTTGGGTCGGGCTGGGGTTGGGGGATTTGCCAAAGGTGTTTTGAGAAGTAGGAACCATCAATTTTTCAAACGGGGCACCGTAGATATCCCAGGTCATCCTATGACATTGAAATTCAATGTCACTTGAAACGGAGTGAATAATGATTAGTCAAACAGCCAAAATTATTATTTCGGAAATGATTATTTCACTTGGTTGCTCGGCCCGAAAATGCAAAATTTGAAAAACTAAATGCAATAGTTTTTGGACTTGACTGCTAAAAAAAATTATTTTTTCATCATTTTTCTTGATAAATATTTTTCATATATTTAAATAAAATAAGAATAAAAAACAAAAAACTGAAAAATGAAAATGAAAATTTAGGAAATAAAAAATAAATGAGAAAATAAAAAAATCCTAATTAAAAAAATAAATAGAAAAAAATTAAAATTTAAAAAATTATTTAATAACATAAAAAATGTTTAAATATGTTTCTTGTGTTTGTAAAACTAACGAGTTTTATTTTTTGTTTTTCTGAATGTTTTTTAAATCAAATCATCTCTGTAAAACAATTTTTTTTCCAAATAATCCTTCTCAAATACAAACATGAAGTATATTTTTTGATCTCTTGAAAGTTTATAAATTTTTCTTCTAGTCCCTTTAAAATTCAATTGGTTTTCGAATTCTAATTTTAAATTATTAAATACTCCATGCAAGGTTAATTTATTCTCTTTATTTAAATTCATTTATTAAATTACAAGGTCAAAGTAAAAGAATTTTTTTAAAACACAAATCTAAGACTCACTTTAATCTGATGAAAAAAAATTTGTTCTTTTGCGACTTATATATATGAATGTATATAATTGTTTTATTTTTTAAATCTTAAAACAATTTTTTTGAATTTTAAAACAATTAACTGCAAAGAGCTAATTTTTATGAAATATTTTTTTTAAAAACAACCAACACATCCAGCCAGTTTAATAAGTTAAACCCATTTTTCATTCAGAACAGTCGAAACACATAGCTAGCCAACTTCCAAACATGGCCTTAGATAGTCAAACAGAACATTGCATAAATTTTGAAAGAATAAGAATCGATCGATCCGGGGGGTGAGAGGATTGGGAGTTAGAGGTGACAGAAATCATCAATTTTATGAATGAAGCACCGTAAGTCTGTAAATGTCCCAAAACCACTAGTATCATTTTTGTTGGTGTGACATTACAACTTCGCGCATACACACACACACACACATCCCTCTAGAGAACCAACCTTTCCATTTATCTTATTGGAGTAGTAGTAGTTAATTTTTCATTAATTAGAGTTGATCAGATGAGACAATTTACATTTTTGTTGTTTTGTGGGAAGTTAATAATGACTTGAAAGTGCTCAAAAAAAAAAAAAAGAAATCAAAAAGTTATGAAGTCAAGAACATGCAGGTACACATACACATGAAGGAACACATTAATTAACACAAGATGCCGACTTTGATTTATTTCGAGCCAGTACACAAATTAAAGATCACCAACAATCCATCCAGTACATAATAACAATATTCATTGACTACTACGTAAGACGTACACAATAATAATGTGCTTGCCATGGGCATGCATGCAGACTGAGTCCATGCATGGCCTCACGAAAAGTCAATTATCTGAAAACACTCCAAAACACGTTATTGATCGAACACATGACACACATATAAGTACGACGTGGGTATAGTAGGTACATCTGATTGATCCAGATGTGGAACCCTTATTAATACAATCAAATCAAACTCGTTCCCATTCATTTGATGACTACTAGCTAGCTACTTCTTCTTCTTCTTGTTACTGACCAAGTTACGCGCAAACGCAGCGAGAGCCTCTTCATTGGTGGGAACTTTTGCGGAGGGACCCGAAACCGGATCGCCCAGCATCTCATTGGCGAACCCTTGCAGTTTGTCAAGGTAGTCCAGGCTGGAGTCGTCCACGAGGCACTCGTCGTACTTCATGCCCTGGTACTGGATCCTCAGGTAGTTGTCCGGGCAGGCCGCGCCCTCGAGGACCATCTCCGTGTACACGTCCACCATCTCGTCGCTCGCCCCCATGAACACGTCCGTGATGCGCGGCGTCCCCTGCGGGATCAGCAACCACTTTATCGCCCCCCAACTGCTCGGATCCCCGATCCTCTCCATGTGGTCCGCCCTGCACGATCCTGTCCCCAGCGATAGGATCATGAAGCTCTCCGGCTTCAAGGGCACTTTATATGCCCTCACCGCTTCCCGTATCGCCAGCAACACTTAAATCGTGCCCATGCATGTATATTTTTTTTATTTCTCTATTGAACATTACCGGTCATTGTTCAAATAAATGTCTAACAACATTGTTCAAATAACTAAATAACTAGCTAGACATTGTTCCCACCATTAGACATTATTTAAGTATTATTTAGAAAATAAAAAAATCAGGTACTACATAGGGAATGAAAGAACATAGGGAGTTATTTTAGTACGGAGTACTATTTAGTGTAAATTTCACAATAATTAATTCGAACAAAAAGTTGAAGCTTGTATGTTGGTACGTACAGGATTGTTGGCTGCGACGCCTCCGTCGACGAGGTTGAACTCTTCAATCCCTTGAGAGGATTGCAGCTTGAAGCTATGGGGAGGGAAGAAAATAGGCGCCGCAGAAGACGAAATGCACACATCTGAGAGTTTCGGATTCTTCGACGCGTCCCTTCTTGCCTGATGATGACGACGATGAACATTCATTAACTAATTCTAATTATAACATATTTTGATGAGCGTCGTTATTACAAAACTAGATCAAGACGACAGAGATCCATCGATTATATATATATTGCATAGAAGCTGCTAGCTAGCTACTATACGTACGTACGTACCTGGAGAGAGGAAAAGACGACGGTTTTCAAACGGTGAACGTCGTAGGCAGGGATGACGACGTTAGTGAGCGTGTGGTTGAGCTTAGTGTCTCTAACAATGCTTTTGATCTTGTCGTGCAGGTAAGCCCCGTCGTACTTGGGGCGGAACCCTATTTGCACCACGAAATCAATCACCCACTTCGCTGCAGAGCCCAATCTCTTGAACCAATCCCACAAATCAAGAATACTATACCTGTAACATACACATAAATAGGCCAGGGGGAACTAATTAATCAGAGGAATTTATCTAAAAAAAGACTAAAACATAATGACTTTTTACTAAATAGCATCATATGTTTTTATATCTCAATGCAGCACTCTTTCAGTCATCACTAGTCATTATATTATTCAAGTAAATGCTCACCATTACTAAGACGTTATTCCTCCTTCTAGACATTATATATTATGTGTTACTCCCTCCGTTTCTTAAAACCCTTCCTCTTTCATTTTTTTTGTTTTTCTTAAAACACTTCCCTAGTCTATTAAAAAACCACTTTTACCCCTACTTTTTCATACCCTATCTATCACATCATACTTTTTCACTAACAACTAAACCATCACATCTTACTTTTACCCATCACATCAAGGGCAAAATTGGAAAGTCAACTACAATTTAACACTTCCTTATTCTTCCCCAAAGTCAAAAGGAGAATTGTTTTGAGAAACGGAGGTAGTATTTATTAGGAAATAAAAAGGTTTAAGTGGGAAATGACTTATGTTTTAGTGCTACAAATATTTCAAGGGTAGTTTTAATTATAATGTAAATTGAATAATACATGTAATAAAGAGATCAAATGGATTTACAGTTGGACTTGATCAGGCGGCATTCCTTGGAGTAGGGCGGCAGGGTTAGGCTGTTGCTTGTAAAAAGGAGGGATATCTGCTTCGGAGAACTCAGGCAGCTGCTGCGCAAGGCGGCCGCCGCCGGCAGCCGGAGTAGTAGTTGTGGCCAGTGGGTGAATGACCGGTTTCTTGAAGATATAGGGAGACTCCTTCTTGTAGAAGGGAGGGATCTCCGCCGCGGTGAAGCAGGGGCGGCCGTCGTCGCCCGGGGCGGTGAGCATGGCGGCGATGAGGCTGCCGGTGCTCGTCCCGGCCACGATGTCGAAGTAGTCGGCGATCCTGGCATTGGGTCCCTCGAGTTCTTGGAGGTGAGATTCGAGGGAGTGGAGGATGGTGGCGGGGATGATCCCCCTCACGCCCCCGCCGTCGATGGCGAGGATGGTTATCACCTTTCCCTTTGGCTCTTCACTCATCTTGCCTTTGCCTTGCCTGTAAGATATGTGAATGGCTTATTTGCTCTTCCACCTCACTGTCTATTTATAATTTAATAAGGTTGGGTAGTAAAGCTACTACTCGGATCCACACACGACTTAAATCTCTCATTATTTAGGCGGCCAAATACAAAAAAGAAAACCCTAGGACTTAAACATTCTCCTCAAATTAGGAGTTCAAACTTAAACTCCTCCAAGTAAAAATAATTAACTTAATTCATACAGTGTATTGTATTTTCGAAAAAAATTGGTTAATTCACACGTAACTTTTTTATTCTTTGTCACTGTGCAGAGAAGTAGGAGTAATTAATTATTTTTTCGATTGAATCAATAATTCATACATATTCATACACGTACTGTGTGAATTAATAGAAGCATTGATACTTGACACTTGTAAATCGAAAATACAATGTACACGTTTTTTTCACTGTGCATATAGTTCAGTTCAATCGAAAAAATAATTCATAGAGTGTCAATTATTTAATTAATACATGACATTATACATTTTGTTAAATATGACAGATATATTACTCTTAGTATTTAGAATATTCGTTTACCTTGTTTACCTAGACTTTACCTCCTCTCCGTGTATGTATAAATACCCCGATATGTGATGAATAAACTACTTAGTTCACAACAGAACTCCAAAAACCCTAATTATTTTTTTTTTCTTCCGCCGCTAGCGCCACTGCGCCAGACCTCAGCCCACGACGCCGCCACCAGATTCTAGTCATTCACATCGGAAACAAAGGAACGAATCGAGGCATACATATGCTGATGGCGGCGAATAAAAGGCCGACGGGCTTTTCACTCACAGACACAAGTCCCTGTCCTTCAATTCTCCGGTTCGCCAAAAGTCTCCGTTGGGTCCAAATTCAGTTCAACGAAAATGGGCGATTATTTTGTGCGACTTGACTGAGGCGATGACATGAAGCAACTTTTGGGTTGTGATGATTCTGCCTTCTAGCGCGGCTGGGAAATAAGTAATGAACAGAGAGGCAGCGAAAATTAATCCTTTAACAGTCCAGGTATTTCTATTTTTCTCTTAACATAGCAAGTTGAGATTGAATTGCATATCAAAATTTATGCCTGGACCATTGAATGACAAACCTGCTCTATGTGGTTTATCTAATCTATTTTTTTCATAAGGCTAGTCCTTAAGAATATGTTTTTTTTTTGTTCTCTGCATACATTTTTCAAGGAGATCAAATATATGAACAAAAAAAGTAATGGAAGAAAATTTTGTAATACGGTGTATCTCTTTATCTAACACATAAGCACCATTTTTGTTTAAGATGTGAAGTTAGTCAATTATGTAGCTAAAAGGTTGCTATATCCAATTTCGGACTTGGACCAAGGAAGCACACTGAAACGATTTTTTTTCCCTAATATGCATTGCTCACATATATTGCTACTTTTAAATCTCACAAGACATTGAATTTGCATCTATAATTTGCTTTTTGATCATCAAAACTAAATCAGGTGTACATGGCCACAGAAAAAGTGCTCACTAATATGCTATTCTATTGCTAGCTAGTATTCCGCATCTAATTTAAATATCATTGACTATTTTGATTCCAACCTGCATATTTTATTATTTTGATCTCATCCCAAATGTGATAAATCTTTTATTGACTACGTATGTTAGAGATTCACGACATATAAAAGAGAACTTCAATCGAAGTGTCAAATTTTGTCCTCAAAGTGTTTCAAATTTGATATTTATTCTAAAGTCCATAATCTCTCAATGAGAATAACAAAATAGATTATTTTTACTCATGCATTTACCATTTTCCAGAAGTAAAATGACCTAAAGATTGTTTTTAAATTGTTCAATGGATTTTCTCCTTATGCAATGATATTATATTTCAATGTGAATTACTAAGTTGCAATAAAATTTGTGTGACCAATATTCCATGTTATATGTGGTTTGAGATTACAAAATAGTACTCCCTCCGTCCCATGAAACATGGGACTTTTACTTTTTAGGAGGGATTTAAGGGGAGTGTATTTTGGTATTGAATTTCCAAAAATGTCCTTTGATGTGATGGGTAAAAGTATGATTTGATGGATAGATTATTAGTAAAAAGGTATGATGTGATAGTTAGGGTATGAAAAAGTAAGGGTAAAAGTGACTTTTTAATAGAAATGAGAAGTGTTTTGTGGGACGGATAAAAAAAGAAAGGAGAATGGTTTCATGGGACGGAGGGAGTATTTGAGAATCTAATTTCCTCTAAAGTGGTAGTGTAAGAATTTTTTTTTCATATACTCCATATTTGGCTACATTTTTTCCCCATTGTTAGGAAAGATGTTTTTGTAAAAAAAAATCATGTTACATATTCATTCCCTGAAGCGAGTGAAAAAAATTGATTGACTTGCATGAATATAACAGGCAATCACAATTATTGTGGTTATACATGAGGACATATCAAGGTCACCATTATAGTCACATAGAATTACAATTATTTTAAACATTGACTATTTCAATCTCAATATATTCCTGAAGAATGTTGAATTCTTAAAAAGAAATCCTTAAGATGTACAATATCCTAAATTAAATAAGAGTCATCATGTTCATCAAACACAATATATGGGTATATGAGGTACTATCTAAGGTCTTATAATATTTAATTATCACCTGAAGTGACTTATTTTTAGTAAAAAAAAATCTCGATATAAAGACATGTTTTGATATTTCAAGACCTTAGTTCTAATCTATATATTATTCCTCTTCAATATTCTCGAAGAATGATCCATTGAATATATTATGATCAAAGGGATTATACATATTATATTCCCTCAACTACTTCTTTTTTTAAGATGTAAGAGAATTTTTTTTCTCTTGATTACGAAAGTCAATGCATGTAAATATATTTTTTTTGTAGTAGAAAACTACTTCAAAGCTCCAGAAGAAAATTAAATAATAAGAGCTTCATAAAGGGAGTATTCAAAGCCTTATAAAGATTGAATATTTTGGGAGATATACCTGACATTCTACTACATTGAGGAATATTATTTTGGTTATACCAACAATGCCCTATTACATCACAAGTCTATATATTTTTAAGATATTAATAGAAATGAATGAATGAGACTTAATCGGGATTTGTTTTAAAGTAAACCAGAAGATTACCCACTTAACTAATTTTTATTTCAAACATAACCAATTAAATTATCCTGATTTAGTTAGTGATTGTGAAAAACAAATCATTAAAAATAGAAGTACCTTGGTCTTGAAGTACCAAATACTTATGCAAAACTTATAGATAGCTTTAGAAGAGCATTGCATAATAAGAGCTGCATAATAGAAGTCATAAAAGTCTCATAAATAATGAATATTTTGAGAGAATAGTTATTGTCCTGCATTGACGAATATTGTATTGGGTATAAACAAATCCTTATTGTTTAAGGTGTCTCTATTAATGTTTAAGATACCAGTGGAAATGAATATTACATGACACTTGATCGAGATTTGTTTTCAAGTAAATCAGAAATTTACTGAACCAATTTTAATTTTAAACATAACCAATTAAATTATTACACTTTAGTTTGTGATGTGAAGAAAAAAATTATTAAGAACTCAAGTGACTACTATTTGAAGGACTAGAAGTTTCTGTTATTATTAGGACCAGAAGATCCTATAGTCTTGTTCTCATTAGAAGATTATTATGAGATTCATTTCATACATATTTCGAAATTGTTCAAGGATAATTGATTGGGCCCATCAACTATTCTTGATGACAATTTATATGTTTTTATATAATGCATCGTTATATTTGTCATATTTGTTGACAATTAACTCATAACCCAAAGTATATGATATTTGTCCATATATTATATTATAGACACAATTTATAGGTTATGTTGAACATTATTAATCACAAAAGAGCCTGCAGCTCTATTTAATATGCAAAGTGCATCGAATTAGTGGCTATACTTTTGATTGTGAGAACAAATCATTTTATACTGATTTTTGAATCTTCATTTATGTGGTAATTATTTGGAGCGAATGCTTAATAGGCTTAAATTAAGACAAATTATCAAGATACCACAATGGTAGGTAGACACTGAGGGGAGGTTTTTGAACGAGTTGAATGGAAGATAAATTCCATGAAATATGCTAGATTATATATATTCTTCAATTAAAAAAGATGTGAATCTGAAATTCAAAAAAGAAGTTTATAAGATATTGCAAATAAACTTCAATATTTAAATTTTATTTGTCAATTGTAAATGCTCTGTTAAGAGTTGAATTCTTGACATTTTCTCAATCATTAAAAATAATGATATTAGTGTATAGAACCCGTAGTTCCAACAAAAGAGAACCTGAAGTTCTCCTTCACATGTATTTTATATACACATGTTCATTTTTATTAATCATTCCCTATAAATTAAATGTCAAATCTTAAAAATTTTGAATTTCTTACTCTTTATATCTCCCGAAGAGAACCAAATTTGTCCCTTTTGACAATATTTGATTGTGTGTCCTATGTGCCCCCCTCCCCCACAATGCATCCAAGATAATAGAGAAGATTGGGTAATTGACATTAGTTTTAACTCCTCGTCAATCGTTAAATGTTAAGAGTTTTTTTTGACAATATATATATATATATATATATATACACACACACACACACACACACACACATCACATTATGTTGATTGTCAATTTTATGTTAAAGTATTCCCAGTCTTAGGGGGAGAGGTGAATAAAGAAAGACTGGTAATATAAGAAATTACATAGGGGGAGAGGTGAATGCATCATCATCGTAAATTTTTGACTCCTGAAGTGGTCAGTGCGATTTTGAAGTCCGATTTGCAATGTAGAGCAAATGAATTATGAGATGCATTCACACATACGAGTAGAGTGACAAGGTTACATATACCAGCATCTTATGCACCGCTCAATTTATGAAAAGTCCCAGAAGTGACTATTATACAAAGAAATTGTGGGAGAATAATCAGCTTCAAAGATAAGAACCCACGAAAATGAAGATAGCAAAAATGCTATTAGTGAAAACACATTCATGATTATGAGTGAAACCCCAGAAGAGGTAACTGTTCCAGAAGAAGATTAATACTATTCCAGAAGAAAATGAAACCCCAAAAGAGGTAAATGTCCTGGAAGAGATCGACTAATATATATGATTCAAGAAGAATAAGTTTCTTAAAGAAACATCGGTACCGAAAGAAAATGAGATCCATATTAATTATGTACGAGACTGTACAATATGGAACCAAAATGAAACACGTGTTAATGATATTCTAGCAAATGCTATGGTAATGGATGTAATCAATAAAAGAGATTACATGCCTAAAACTCAAAGAAGAGTACATGTAGATAGTACATAAATGATTTGCCAAAATGGCAAAAGACCCTGAAGGTCGAACATAAGTCACTTGATAAACGAAATATTTTCGGACTTGAAGTCTGAACACCCATAGACGTCAAACCAATAGGTTTAAAATGGGTGTCTGTAATCAACAGAAATAAAATGAATGAGATTGTGCAATATGAAGTACTACTTGTAAGGCAATGGTTTTTCCCTAATCACAGGAGTTGATTATGAGGAAACGTATTTTCCACTAGTGGATGCAATATCCTTATAGAATTTTAACTGGTCTCGCAATCTCAAAAGGACTTCAAATAAATGATATAGGTGTCGTTATAACAGAATTATAAGGGACACTTGAAATCGACATCTGTGTGATAATAATCCCTGAAGGATTCAAAATGCCAGAAGCAATAAAATTAATGCATCGAGATATGTGTGAAGAGATCGTGGAATGGTCTTAAGTAATCTGGTCATATGTGGTACAATTGACCTAGTGAATATCTCGAAAAAGAAAGATACAAATTTGAAATCAACCTATGTGTTGTCATTCAAGGATCGCTCTCAATATTCTTTATTATAGCAGTTTACGTCGACGTATAAATATCATTAAATCTCCTGAAGAGATAGAAAAAAAACTGTTGAACTCTTGAAGAAAGAATTTGAGATGGAAGATCTTGACATGACATAAATTATACTTAGGATTGTATTTTAAACACATGTATGATGGCACATTTGTTCATAAGTTAAACTACATCCAGAAGATGTTAATACGTTGAAATATGGATAAAGCTCATCCTTTGAACATACTCATGGTTGTTCATTCATATATATATGTACATAACATTCTAATCGCCTCCCAGAAGAAGGCGAAGAAGTACTTGGTCCTGAAGTACCAAATTT